GGATGGATGGATGGATGGATGGATGGATGGATGGATGGATGGATGGATGGATGGAAGGAAGGAAGGATGGATGGATGGATGGATGGATGGATGGATGGATGGATGGATGGATAGATAGAAAGATAGATAGTTAGATATTAACAAGCTAACGGTATGACAGAGGTTGCACCTTTTTCTTACTAGTCGTGTAGCACCACGATCATCTGGGATTCTTTGGTCAGAGTAGACTTGACAAAAGGTTACTGGATGTATAAACAATAACTTGTGCAAGATACGGTCCGCCAACATTTTTGCATAAAAGATTGGGTTCATGTTCCACCGCTACCCATTAATCTCGAACAATACAGCGATCAACTCAGTGGATCGTGATCATATGCTGAAACGCGTCTGAGATGAATTGTTTTATGGCACTGATGTTTGCCGTGCTGGTGGTGGTGGCGACATTGAACACTTGTAAGGGTGCGGCCGTAGTGCGGCAGGCATTCTGCAGCAGGTTTCCCGCTACAAGGGACTGGTAACCTGACAAGTGGCTCAAGTGACTACGGCCGCACACTAAGACAGGAAATAAAAGTTGATTGTGAGTCCAGTAGTTGTGACTGAGCTTGAGTTTTCTATTGCTTGTCCTTATTAAAATATTGCGTTACGGAATCGGTTGATTCGTTTTAAATCATCCTGTATATTAAATGCTACAGAAATCCCTTAGAAATGAAAATTATTAGGTATAATACAATGGGCACACAGTATCCCACGACATCTCGATTTCTACAGGACTTTTCTTTCGGAATTAGAGGTGGCTACAAAGAAGGAAAACAAAACAGAACAGATCTGGAGCAATCGCAGTTCCTCTTTGAGAACCCACCATTTAGGTAAGCCTTTTACGGTATTTGCAACACATTTAGGTCATGTAAGTGTAAAAATCAGAGGTGTTACAATCAGGGGCGGCTCGTCCATAGAGCACGGTCGTGCACTGCCGCCCAAAAATTTAAATGCCCACAACACCCACACAGAGGTAATAAAAGAACCTTTACCATCCACCATCCAATCAGTTTTCCGTACAAGTTCCTCGCCAGAGCCTAATCGTTCATTATTACATCTATAAAAACTCACAAGTCATCAAGAGCGCACGTAAACAAACAATACCGTTAAGTATCATACTTTCGGACAAGTAGACATAGCAGCGCAGCTTGTCGTTGGTCATCGCATTGCAACATCTCACTATAACGAACGGCTGAGAAAGAACAGGCACCTACCGTGTAAGATTATCGAATGTATTTTGTTCTGTGGAACTCACGAACTCGCCCTTCGCGATCATGAAAAGGGTGGTTTGTTTGGGAACAGAGGTATTTTTCACTAATGCTATGCAGGCTTTACGACATTTTTTGCCCACTCTACAAAATGCATCGACGTTCTCAGACGCGTTTGTCACCGGAATATTCCACGGCCGTCTGAAACAAGGTGGAATTTACAGTCTCGACTTATTAGTACAGTCTTCACTTGGAAAGGAGAGATCCAGCTCTGTCTTGAAGAAATTCAGTCTGAGCACAGGGACGAAAATACCATCCCCGAAGCCTATGGTGTCCTGAATGTATAAAAGAGTGAAACATTTCTCTTCTTCTCTCACTTTTTCAACAAATTGTTAATGCATGTTGACGCTATCTATAGGATCCTCTAACGCAAAAGTACAATGCCTATAGCAGCCTAACAAGCCCTTGACACTTTTAAAGTAGCCGTTGATGAAATTAGAAACAGTAAATGTGTTCCATCAACAAGACAGACCACAGAGGACCACGCTTCCAAGAGATACAGACACTACAACACCAACGAAATTGCTGCAAAGCAGGCCTGTGACATAATAGTTTGTCAAATTGTTAACTGTTTCTTGAAGCAAAATAAAATCAATACACTATCAATCTTCGACCCCTCCAAATTCCAGGACTATCAAAAGTCGTTTCCTACAGTTCTTTTCGGATCGTTTACAGAAAAATTACTCTGTTTGCATAAAATCAAGTTTCAAACAGAATTATAATATATTGCAATGGAATATTTAAGTCTACTCAGTGCCGTACAATCCAGGGCCTCTATTAAACTCTAAAAGACTACAAACTAGACACAACATTTAGAGAAGTATGCAAAATCCTAGAAATCGCACTGACGTTTATGTAGATTCACAAGGACATCATTGGCAGCATGCCCAACTTCGTCAACACAATGATGGACACTTTGCTGCAGCAATAGAATGAAGGGTACTTATTTTTCAAATAGATTTTCTCCAAACAGGTAGGATGAAGACTACATCTCATTTACCATGCCCATTGTAGTGCAAGGAAAAAGTGAAACAGACCGACAGAAACAACAAACAGGTAGGAAAGAAGAAGGACCTTCCCGATACACAACCCTCCAACTGAGTTTACGACCTTCGTGAATTGTGTTTTAAAAGAGTGAACTCTGACCTTGACAACCATCCTGCTGGCAGTGAGAGGGTTGTAGCAGTCGTCCAGGATCAGGTAACCAAAGTTGGTGCCCGTCGACTTGCGAAGGTTCTTGATGCTGTTCAGAAATGCTGACAAGGCTACATAGGACATACTCTCATCCCTGGAGAAGATCGAGAGGAAGGGGGATCTTTTTAAAATTCAACTTTCAACCCCCCTTTCCCCATGTTCCCTTTTTTATGTAGCCTATAACAAACATAATAATAAAACATTTTCATACCCGCCACCAGAATGTTCCGGTGCAAATTCACAAACGTGAACTGCCACACAAAGCAGACAAAATGCTTCCAATAAATTTCGGCAGCTAGCTGTTCAAATGTACTAAGCCCCGAAAGTTATATTTTTCAGACGAAAAAAAAATCATTCTTTTAACAACTGTATCTGTATTATGTAATTTTTTTTTCAGCATTTAGAATTTTAGTTTCCAGAAAAACATTTCGGGAGCATATATGCTAATACAGATCTAGATTTAGGGTACCAGTACTAAAGTAGGTATTTTAAATAAAAGAGTAAAAAAAACCAAACAGCAACAACAACGAAAATGAAACACAGCAACTAAAATTATATCTTTGAATAAATTTAAGGAAAACCCCCAAAAAGGTTGAAAATTACATTTCAAGCAGCAAAGCCTTAACATGTTTATGAAACTCATATTCTTCCAAAATAGTTTTGGATTTTCACATCAAGATACATACTACAATAATAACTGATTCAATGTAATGTTTTAGACCTTCATAGACGACATTCTAGATGATTTTGGAGATAGGCTACTCCAAACCTACTTGTCAGGACCCATCTACCCATCCGAGCAGAAAGATGGATTATCATCATCAAGTGCCATATCTGCGACAGACATCGGCCATCATGGTTCTCCATTCATTCCTTTGTTCGGATGCTCTTAAAAAAACTACACTACCTTGATCTTTCCCCTTTACCTATCTGTTTAGGTTCTCCAAGTAGGTTGCACTGAGCCCACACTATAATATATAGAAAGACGGATACACCCATGAAACAAAATCTCTCTTGTTGGAATAGGATGCAAGTCTTTTCCCTGGAACAGACATGAGCCTTGTCATGACAGCAGAGACCCTGGTGGCGTGGGTGGTTGGCTGGTCCTCTGGTTTGATTTGCTTCTTCTATCATCCTTATTTCTCATCCTTTTTTTCTTTGTATGTTACATTCCAGTAGAAACAACACTAATCTTCGGTATTTGCAACGGTCGTAAAATGGTTACTACTTTGTTTGAGTAAAGAGAAGCACATCGATACAATAACGGTCTGTTAGTGTTAGTGCTGGAAACAGTTTAAAAAAATAACAGACAGAAACGAGAGAGGGAAAGTAAAGAAATAGGACCTACCAGTGGCGCCCTCCAACCTCCCGCACTATCGCTACAACTAAGACCCTGGTGGCTACTATAGTATCGAGGTAGCATAATATGTGTGACCAAAAAGAGAGTATAGCAACGGACCTGAAATCACCACAACCAAAGCCGTCGGAGCCCCAGTGCACGGAATAAAAGCCTAAAATGATGACGCTGCCTTCCTGGTACAGGAAGTGCATTTTGTCTATTCCCTCACACTCAGGCTCAGAGCAAATTTCTTTACATTCTGATGGTTCCATAATTGCCGGGATCCCTGGCAAGAGGAACACAGAGCCGTTTTTGTAGGTGCCAATCTGAAATCAGAGAATGGAAGGCACGTTAACCATAATTTAATTTACTTAGTGACTTTTCATTTTTACAGCAGATACATAGTTTTTTAAAATGCTTCCACCTCCTAAAATTGAGTGGACCGTTCTTAAGACGATCTGCAGGGTTTGACATTGGCGGAAAAATAGTATGGCCTCTCCCAAGACCTAAATACTCAACCCAGTTTCAGAGTGAGTTGGACATAATTTTGTGTTGAAGATGAACGTTTATATGATCTGGGCAAAATATAGGTCATTTGGAAAAAGGGGCATCTGGTCTCACGTTTAAGTGCAGGCTGAGAGGAAAATTATATTAACACGGCTGAGTAATTATGTACTAAAAACGGTATTACGGGTCAGGTCGAAACCCCTTGTCAGCACAATTCACTAACTGAGCAACGGGACCACATATCTCACTATTACCTCCTATTCCTATAGGACTGAATCAAGTGGGTTGAGGACTATGAAAGGCTCTCAAGCGAAGCAAGTCAGAGAGAATGTTCAGCTTGGTAATGGAATTGTGCGCTGAAGCATGTGTCAAAATAATGGGATAACAATAAGCATACGTCCGTGTCTGGCCAATTGCGAACTTTAAAAAATATCGGGAAACAGGACAACATATTTTTAGGGTCATAGCCATACCTTTCTCGTAGTAACAAGAAAGTAGACTGTTTATTAAGAACAACCACCGATCAAAAACATCAACGGTGAAAAGAAAATAAGGCTAATGATATAAACGATAAAGACCCCCGCTCTCTCACTAAAAAAACTAAAAATGAGAAAAAAAATCAAAATTAAAAAGACAAAATTTGGAGCAGTAACAACTTAACTAGAAAACATCAATGTGAAACAGGAACAGAAACTATGAGAGTCTGGATAACATGTTCACATCAATCAATAAAATAGTTAAAACAGACAATAAAGATGAGTCTTCCAAAAACCTAAAAAGATTGCAACTATTTTCCCTGCCTTCCTTCTTGTGCGAATATAAATGAAATACTTTTAATCCTTAGGTAATAGATATGTTCTACATACTTCTTTTAAGAATTTCTTATATGTGTCTGTTTCAAGTTTGGTCTTAATAGTTTAACGGCTTTAGTATCCACCTGTTTTGTTCTTAATTACTGGTTAACAATCATCGCCTGATATTCAAGTACAAATAAGTGATCTTTAATACGATGAAAGAAAAAAAATAAAGAAGCTTAAAAAGTTGCCACAATAACAAAACAAGGGGGAGGGGGGATTGCAAATGTTTTACGCTCTCGTCAACATAATTTAGATAATTTGGGTGGCACCATATAGTGGTTGACAAAATAACATACGTGAAACAAGTATAAAACATCAGCCACCTATAAAGGTTGTCTTTCACTCACGTGTTCATATCCAGCTCCCTGATTGGTCTGCAAGGAGTAGAGCACGCCGTCTATGGATTGAAAGTCTCCAGAGACATTTTGGAGATGTCGACCCTCGTTGGCAAACTCCCAGGGCAAAAACTCCTCACGTATGCCGTTGTAGTTTAGGTCCAGGATCTCATAGTTTGAGAAGACACCGGATTCCAGCAGAGTTCTCAACGCTGTGCACATGCCTGGGTACACAATGGATTAAGTAATTGATTGCATATCATCGGTCAGCAGTTCAGATGTACTTAGCCCAAAAATTGTAGGTTCTTGTGGTCTTGGTGAATAATAATAATAATAATAATAATAATAATAATAATAATAAAAATAATAATAATAAAAATAATAATAATAATAATAAAAATAATAATAATAATAATAACAGTAATAATAATAATAATAATAATAATAATAATAATAATAATAATAATAATAATGATAATCGATAGAGAGCATTTGTATAGCGCAAATACCCGCTCAACAGCAAGTGCTTTGCGCTTCACAATCTATACTATTACAAGTACTACTCCAGCAGACTTGAGAGCATTCTGAAACAACTCCAACTTCCTGAGAAGCATACGGTGCAAGCAGCCATTTTTATATAGGCGCTAAACACTAACATACTGACAAGATCTTTCGCTGTCTATGGCCGGGTACCCGTTCCCACCTGGGTGAAGGGAGGAAAATTCGTGTAAAGTGTCTTTCCCAAAGGACACAACGTCGGGCCCGCCATTGGAACCTCCGAACTCGCAACCTCACGATTATGAGTCCGGTGGCCTCACCATTAGGATACCGACGCCTCAATATACTATACTAATGGAATATTAGGTCGAATTTCAAATTCTCAATGTTGAAAAAAAAGGCAGCCGGTATTTTTACATGTCGAGGAAAAAATGGAGAAAAAAATTTACCCGCATTTTCATTACCTGTCGTGGAAAAAAAAAAAAAGGCTATGCGTGTTTCCACTACAAGTCGAAGACATACCGGCTCTTACCGCAGAGGTCTACGCCTAGGCCTATTAGCTAAAATACAATTTTTTTCGATACATCTAGATCTAGATCTAGTTTCGGATTTTGGACCTGTTTTAGTTCTACCACCATTCCGATTAAGGTGTCAAAACTACCGGATTTGCGATGGGTGCCGAGAGTGCTTCAAACTTTTCTTTGCAAAACCTTTAGCCTAGGCCTACATCCCAAAATTCTGTATTTGCCGCATCATCATCTTTAGAGAGAGAGAGAGAGAGAGAGAGAGAGAGAGAGAGAGAGAGAGAGAGAGAAAGAGAGAAAGAGAGACAGAGAGAGACAGAGAGAGACAGGGAGCCGAATACCCCCCCTTAAGAACGAGCAGATGAACTACAACCACAATCAGGCTGGGATATTAGCCTGCAATGGCAAAGAGAAGTTCTTAAACGACAGGGTTAGAAACGAAGGGTATATCTTTAAGCCCGGGTTGGCCCTGACAGGCAGGGTCGCAAGCTCACCTCCTAAATGATTTAAATTGTGTCGATAGGAGCGTAAAAATATCTATATATAAAAAAACACACTGGCTATGTTTTTCTATGAACAGACAGATGATAGCAGCACCAAAAGTTACCATAACTAGAATATTATTGTCAAGAACAGGAGATAAACAAATCAACAACAGTACTCGTAATTCGTCCCCAAGGTGAGAGGGAGGAGTTATGTTTTCAGTTTTCTGTCCATTGTCGTTTCGAAAAGATCGACCAGCCACGATTTTTCAAAGTTGGAGTTAAAAATATCGACTTCCAGGTTTTGGAATATTCTTGTAGAAAAATATGTCAGGAATCCAATTTTGGAGGCCTCACTGAATAAAAACACCTCAAAATCACTCAAAAATGCCTTTGAGAGAGGTTGGGGTAAAGGAAATTTTGAATAAAAAGTCAGAAAACACCAAACTTTGACTCTTTCTCATGCTGCTTTACACAACTGCGACTGCGACGTAGGAACATTTGGTATCGTTGGAAAGGTCGCGATTTCGGCCGTTCAATTACCGTAGTTTCGGTATCGTACAGAAATAACACGGACCGCCGTTTACGCTTATGTGAAGACCCCGTAGAAAAACGTGATTGGATTATCCTAGCACGTGACCACTGCGCAAACGCTCATTGGCTCAGCCGGTAGCAACGGAAGGGGCTTCCCCTAATGCCGCCATTGTTGTTATTGTTTACGCTGCGTGCCTACGGACAGACAGTGACCGTTTTTGACGCATTTCTCTCATCGCACTGAATTCTCAATGCATCAATTCGTCTGTACAGGTGAGTGAATAAAATAACAATCATATGGGCTGTATTTTTCACTTATATTTGCTTCAAATAATTGTTTGTAGACGACATAAGCTCGCCAAACCCGAAGTAGGTCAGTCCGCCCTGATTCTCCTCCTTCTGTCTATCGTCCTCGTTCAATCTTACGGTTTTATTAGGAAGTGTAGTGTGTAGCCTATCTAAAGATCTATTCATCTGGAGCTTCCTCGGATTGTAGATCTACACGATTGCTGTGTTTGTGAAGACTTCAGAATGATAAGCAGTTAGTTTGAGAATGCCAATGTGATTGGTTACGTTCATATTGTGTTGATAGATCTAGCATGAGGGTTTGGAAGGAAGGAGGAGATTACACATCGATTATCGAGATAGATCTAGACCTAGAACTAGAATCTTGGATCTAGAATCTAGATCTAGTGGTTGTGAGCACTTTTTCGTTACTCCTTATATAGATAGTATAGATACTTAACCTAACACTATTTGTCGTAAGGCAGAGGTAGGTGGGATCTGGATTGTTTTTCTGCCTTTCCTATTTAATTTAATTTTTTTGCTGAGGCGTTCGAATTCACTGAAAAACCCTGCAGAACTTGACTGCATGCGTGATGGTTGATTATTAGATATGCAACATGAAAATGTTCTGAGTCTAGACTTTTGCTCTTAGTACTTAATTAAAAACGTTGTCGATTTTGAAAGAGTAGGGCTGCATTACATGTATTTTGGAAGTGCAGAAAAAAGATTTTGGGTGGAGGAGGGGGGATGAGGGTTACAACTGCCTGACTAAGGCTTTCCTAACTAGGTCTTTTTGCAGGACACAGAGATAAACTGTGCCTTCACTGGTTTCCTGGTGGTAGTGTGCTACTGGTACCAGTATAGCTCGTATCTCTTTCCTTTTCCACTCAGGCTATCCTATACCATTGTTCTTCAACAGATGAGGACCACCACCATGAGAACTGCCCTAAAGGAGAGACTCCTGGTGTTTTTTTCAAAGGCTGAAGCAAGGGGGTTGCCACCAGGTAGTCATGTCGGGACTCCACTTTGCCAGCTGGTCGCTGATCACGTGCGACCAATCTTCACGCGTCTGTCATCCAATGACCTACTGGGCCGCTGCATTCTACAGCACCCAAAACGCTAACGAAAGTGAGCTTGCAGTTGCAGTCATGGGCTTGCTGCCCAATGCACCAGTTTGTTCATCGCAATCGCCTGTCTATTGCTGTTGCTATTGGTGAATCTACTTCGGTGCGAGCTCATCGCGTGACTTTCTCACAACCCTCAACCTGCCTGTCGGTCGAGAAACAAGCGTCACGGGGAAAAGCGGGACCACACAAGAACTGTGAAAGCACAGGTAGCAGCCACAGAGAAAGCCAAGAGATACAGGCTAATCAGGGCAGAGACAAGAGCAGAGAATGATAGAAGCTTTTATATATATATGGAGAATTTTATGTCTCTGGAGGTGGAGACTAGTATGTTTAGGTAGTGTTTAATTTTTTTAAAAGAAGGGGTACAATGAGAATTTTGGGCTATAAAAAGTAAAACATGACTGTTACATTGTTCTTTTTGAGTGGAGAATGTTCAGAGTACTTCCTGTTTCAATGTTTGTAAGGTTTTTTACCTTAGAAATGTGTCTGGGTCTTCTGTTGGCCAATAAAAATCTCATTTTGCGTTTTTCTCAAAATACCTTTTTTGACAAATTTGTCTCACTTTTTGTACCAGATCTCAGAAAGTTCTTGTCAGAACTTGTTTAAATTTGCACACAATGTTCTTTGCATGTATGCCTACCACCTAACAGAGAGATTTTTGACTTTTCTGTTTTAGTTAATATTTTTTTAATGTTTGGCCTTTGATTACCTGAACATTTCGGAGATCTGAATTTGACCCCACCCCTATGACAGAGTATCTGAAAGTCAATGGACAGAAGTCAAATCTGGCATTGTTAGGTGGTAGAGAATGATCATTTCTATTACCATGCCAAGTATGAAGACTCTATCTTGAGTGGTTTTTAAGATCTCAAGAAAATAAAAATGTCATTAAAACTGCTGACTCGGCACTTTCTTTGTAGCGCCACGTCCAAAAAACACATGAAAATAATTTTTTAAAGGTTTAGAGTATTCTATTTCCACCAGACAAACACATTGATGCTGAAAAACAAGCCCAAGAACAACTCAATAGTCATATTGGTGTGTACCATAGCTACCTTCCCTTAGCCTAGGCCTACATCCCAAAATTCTGTATTTGCCGCATCATCATCTTTAGAGAGAGAGAGAGAGAGAAAAAAGACATGAGAGAAGAGAGAGAGAGAGAGAGAGAGAGAGAGAGAGAGAGAGAGAGAGAGAGAAAGAGAGACAGAGAGAGACAGAGAGAGACAGGGAGCCGAATACCCCCCCTTAAGAACGAGCAGATGAACTACAACCACAATCAGGCTGGGATATTAGCCTGCAATGACAAAGAGAAGTTCTTAAACGACAGGGTTAGAAACGAAGGGTATCTTTAAGCCCGGGTTGGCCCTGACAGGCAGGGTCGCAAGCTCACCTCCTAAATGATTTAAATTGTGTCGACAGGAGCGTAAAAATATCTATATATAAAAAAACACACTGGCTATGTTTTTCTATGAACAGACAGATGATAGCAGCACCAAAAGTTACCATAACTAGAATATTATTGTCAAGAACAGAAGATAAACAAATCAACAACAGTACTCGTAATTCGTCCCCAAGGTGAGAGGGAGGAGTTATGTTTTCTGTCTATTGTCGTTTCGAAAAGACAAGACCACGAAGCACGTGTCGTCTCCCGTGTTCTGAATACCAACATATAAATGGGCTTGTGTTCGAAATAGGTGTATCACTACTATTACCACATCTGCAACATGACTTTCTTTCAAGCTAGAAATAAGTAATCAAAGTTATCTGGGCCGTGAAGTGAGTGATACCTACTTTGTACAACTGAAAAAGATTTAAAAATAAATTAAACAAAAACTTACCAGGATTATTACAAAGATTTTGGTGCAATGCTCGTACAGTGTTTGCAATCAGGTAGACTGAGTCGAGAGCCGCCGTCAGGTAGCCATAGAAACGGACTTTGCTCTGCAGATTGCAGGACTCAAGAGACTCCGCCGTGAAGTTGTAGCCCGGGCAACTTTAGCGTCAGAGTATTTGAAATGTAAAGATGTCAACTTATATCAGGTTGGTGACGAGAAGAAAGAAATGAAGTGGGGGTGGGGGGGGGGGGGGGGAGCTTAGGATGAAAATGATGGAATGAGGATGGATGGTCCAGTAGAGGTGGAGGGGGACGGAGGAGGAAGAGAAGGAGGACGAGGGGGGAGAAGGAGTAAGTAAAGGGTGCAAAAGAGGAGGAGGACGAGTCATATTTTCACTTATATGTGGAACATGTTAAACTCGTTATTCCCCTAACATGTATTTGAAGCTGAAGCAGCATAATGTTTCATACTACTATGGAGCAGTTCAGTGGAGGGTTTTTGTATTTATTGAAAGAACCATTCGCCTTACCTGTATTCTTCTCGAATAATCCTTTTCATCGCTGTTTGCCAAGAGCCACCTGAGGCCCACGGAGGCGGTGAGGACAGGAAACTGAAGAAATGATCCTCGAACGATTTCACGTCTGCTTTGGGAGGGGACACAAGTATGATCTTCGACCTATGAACAAGTAGGCAAACGATGTAGAAGTGAATAGGATAGTGATGTTAAAGATTATACCCAATTTGTCAATTTAGCAGTTTAATCAGTCTACAAAACAACCAACCAAATAACTAACCAACCAATCAACCTAATTATCTATCAAACGATTAATGAAATGATCAATCAATCATTCAGCAAGCAAGTAAGCAAGTAACAACTGACCAATGGAACAATTAATCAATCAGGGAGTTAGCCATTCAATCAATATTATGTTTAATTAATGAATTAGTACGTGTTGCAGTTACTTTAATATCAAATCAAACTTGTAGTCCATAATTATAAAGATAAAATCAATGTTTACCCAGTTATTTGACATACATTGCCTTATTATGGATAACATGTAGAAATTATGTAATATTATAGTAAAGTTAACACGAGTCATCTAATTCATCCGTGAAACCCTTTAACAAATAAAGAAACATGGGCGCGCGCACACACACACACACACACACACACACACACACACACACACACACACACACATAAACGCACTCACACACACACAAAGAGGGAGAGAGAGAGACAGAGAGAGAGAGAGAGAGAGAGTGTGAGAGAGAGAGAGAGAGTGTGTGTGTGAGAGAGAGAGAGAGAGAGAGAGAGAGAGAGAGAGAGAGAGAGAGAGAGAACAGTGATCCGTCACTAACTTATATTCTTGGAGCAACTCATTTAGTTCCTCCGATGGCCCCACCGCATCAGAGGCAATGAAGTGTATCTTTTCCATATAGTATTGGGCATTGTGCCATGCGCTCCGACGTTCTTTGATGAAGCGAAGAAGATTCAGGAGTCCATCTTGAAGGCCGAAGTAAATCACACCTGGACAAACATCGAGGGCATGTTGGAATCATGTAGCCTATTTATTTTAAATGTTACAAAACTGATTATGATTTTTACTTATAATAGGTCTATAAAATGTTACTTCTTTACGTGGTGACCTTTTACGTTTTATTAAGAGGTCACATGGTAAGTACTGCAAGTGTAGCTTTGGACTCCAACAGATAAGGTATTACATGTATCGAGAGGGGGGGGGGGGGAGAGAGAGAGAGAGAGAGAGAGAGAGAGAGAGAGAGAGAGAGAGAGAGAGAGAGAGAGAGAGAGAGAGAGCTGAAAAGAAAAAAAATATATTAAAAAGCTTTATCCTTTCGAAAAGATATATTGGGGACAAGGTCAATCTAAAAAATTCAACAGAATTAATATAACAATACGAGAGAATGGGATTGTTGAATAATCGAAAGATTAAGTAGGCTTTGTGGTTGCTGTTACACTTATTCTATTAGCTTAAGGTCTTTGGCCCTTTATCCGATATCAAGAAAAAAAAAAAAAAAAGAACCGTGTGACAGGAACAGAATTGTTAAACGGCCTTACCAAGAGTGTCTCTAGATTTCGCAACGCGCCCGAAAAGCGTCTGCCGAACAAAAGTTTCCATTTTGTCACGCGAAGGCTGTTCCTGGGTGTCTATAGCTTCGAGGAAGGAGAGACAGATACTGTTCTGCCGAGCCAAGCGATGTACTTCACTCATGCCCTGGCGCCCGTAGTTGTCCGTCGTGTGGACGCCCACTATGTACGTCCATTTGTATTTCTTGGCCAACTCGATGATGGTCTAGAGAGGAATTAAGACATTTGCTTGATTTTGTTTTGATTTGACTTGTTTTGAGTTAATTTGTTTGTTTGTTTGTTTGTTTGGTTTTTTTTCATCAATTCGAAGATGGTCTAGACAGGAAAAAATAAATTTGCTTGGTTTTGTTTTTGTTTTGATTTGTTTTGGTTTTGGATTATGTTTGGTTTTTGTTTTTGTTTTTGATTTCAACAACTCGACGGTGGTCTGGAGAAGGACAAAGAAAAGAGTCGAACATAAGAAAAGGTTTTGTTTATATTTGTTGCAGGTTTGAGGGTTTTTGTCTTTGTTCTTGCTTGGATTTTGCAGTGAATGGGGGGAGGTGGGTGGGTATAAGTGTGCTTTGATACAACTGGAAAGGGAAATCGAAAAAAATCACATTTGTAGAGATCACACCATTTAAAGGGACGGTACTTCACGGCTGAATAATATGAACGTTTGCCAACATTAGGAGTCTAATTAATTATATTCAATGTCAAAAGGCTAATAATGCCTTGCTTCGAATCTCCAATGTTTTCAAATCACCCTAAATAATCTAAATTATGTCGATGGGATCGTAAAAGTACTTACATTTTAAAACATGTGGGGTTTTGTGTCATTTCGATCGGCTGAAGTCGTCAAACAGACTGGCAATATTGAGATTCGTTACCCAAAACGGCGCCATTTTGATGAAGGTATATTAGAAGAAGATTATCACGGGTATTAACCAGACAGAAGAAGAATACTGTGCACTCCTGATTAAACAAAGTGAAAATTATATTACTTCGACCACTGTAAGGCAAGTTGTAATTTGAGCTGCAAGATTGCGCCTGAATGCGCGAGTAACTTGTATAGGGGACATAACTAAGACACAACACACATTCGAAAGAAAATGAGTTATGCACCCTGGAAAGGCTAAGTAGAAAATATAGTTCGCTTGTTAAATTAATCGATAGATGAATAGAGATAAATAGAAAGATAT